AAAAAAAAAAAAAAAATAAATAAATAGTGTACATTTGATATAATTGAATAATAATATCGAGTAATATTCGTCCTAGATTACTCTGTGAAAAATGTGCACACCGAATCTCTTGTTTCCGCCTCTGTGTTCGAGTTAAAAGTCCTACTGCGTCGAATTTTCCAATTTTATTTTTTCATCCCGGTTACACGTACTTGATGTGCATGAGGGACTTGGAGGAAAAGGCGTATAGTGCAATTTTTGTATTTTCGAAAAATACGTGTTTGAAGTTTTGAAATAATTAAATGGATTCTACTGACAGAAAGAAAGTCTAAACTGATTTTTTGATATTGAAAATTGGAATTTGGGAGCGAATTTTACACAGAGCATGAATTGAGACTAGTTTTACTTGAAATCATTATTACCTCAGTATTTTCAAAAATTGCTTTTATGCGCCTTTTCCATGGGATTTGGTTCCTCTTTGTCCTAGCATGAATAAATAAAACTTGTGATCTAACTTTGACATAGTTCGCTATTCTGCTGTGCTAAGGAAAAACGCCGTATAAATCTTCAGGCGTTGCCAAATTTCCTTTGATAAAACACAAATTTCCTGGTAAACTTATAAATATTTCTCTTCCAATTTTTCAGGTTATTTTGTTTGCAATTTCACCTATAGCTCCTGAAAATTTCAAGGGGAAAAATCCATAAATTTCCTCAAAAATAAACATTTTATAAAAGGAAATTCGGCAACTCTCGAATTTTCATGCGGAGTTCTTCCTTAGCACAATAGTATGCGGATCGTCCGTGACAATATCTTACTTACTTTATTACTAGGTAATCCGGGAGGGACCCAGGAGTATCCCTCATTCAAACAGAGCTCCTTCGAGGGTAGTCTGTCCCCATTGGCGGGCGTTTTGAATCCGATCCTCTCCCTCACGTTGACCCACTCCTCGTGGTACACATTGTGCGACTCTCGCGGGCACTTGCACGAGTTACACGTTTTCCTGAAACAGATCAACATTCACGGTTGTAAAGCCAGTTGCAGGTATCATAAAATTACAATTCTTGATCATTTGGTTTGGGTACCATTCATCTTATTCCGAATACATCAGAGGGGAAAAGAAATATTCAAAAAGATTTGACTTACGGATAGTACATGACGCTAACCTACGTTATTTCACAGATATTTTCTCAACTGTAATCATGACCGTTGAGCGTAGAACGTAGATAAGAGTTGAGAAGGGACAGGTTTCTTGCTGTATTTTTGCCTCTATTTTAATTCACGAGACTGGACGCCGCACACCGCACAGTGGATCGAGTCAATAGGTGAGGCCAGAAAAAATTTGGAAACTTTAAAAGCTTCCAACTCTGTTTATCTAAAACTTTGAGGTTCTAAACGTGGTTACATCGGTTTCCTCGTGAAATTTTCTGCCATCAACTTCCCTTGAAATATAAAATTTGGCGAAATGAACATCAAAATTTGTAATTTTAGTCAAAAATGTCTTGTCCGACCTTTCTAATTGACTCGATCTACTGTGCGTCGGGACTTACTTGGGAAAACGAGGATTAGATACGATACAATCCTAACATCAATTATTTATTGAAATTTCAAAGGCTGGATCAATTCCATATAAATTGTCCCAGCCACTCTTCATACTTCTTTTAGCTTCACTGGGTAAAGTAAAATAACTGCGGTATACTTAGTAAACTCTTCAGCCCGTATTTCTGTTATCGAGTCGTCTTTTACCCTCGTTGGTACGCCCCATGACCCGTGTGAACTTTAATTCTTCCCTCGACATCAATGAAGACATTAACTGGAGCATGACTGTGAGGCTACGAGAGCGCATTATGGGAGAAAGAGGGATGTGACATTTCACTTTTATACGAGATTAAATCACTCTTTCTTATGAGATGTCGGAGTTCCTGCTCTTTAAGGTAATAACTGAGAGGGAAAAGAAAAGCCAGAGTAATTAGGTCGTCAACGCGTCGGCGTGGCTCAAAAAAATTACAAATCGATGTACCTCATTTCACTTGTTCTGAACATTCAAAAAGAAAGCAACATTTTCGTTTATTGATTATTTTGGGTATTCTAGTCAAAATCTAATAAAATTTCTCGCTTGAGTCTGATTTTGTTCTCACTTTGTAAATGTCGTCTTCTATTCATTTTATATTCATTTTTACCTCGACCATTTAAACTATGTGAATTGCAGATTGCTGACTTGGCAAAATGCTGATTTTCTCTATGATCAACAGTGTTTTTAATGGCACAAAAAGAAAAATGCAATTATTTTTGCTGCACCACGCTAAATAATTAAGTGTGGCGCGGCACAGAGAAAATGTCGCTAGACTTAGGGACAACCAAACAAACGCTCCGTGCGTGGAACTCAGTATGGTATAGCAATCAGTGATTTTCTTCTATAATAAACTTCTTGATTCATTTTGGGTTTCCTGAAGACGGCCAAATTTTGGGAAGGCTCTTTCGATGAGATGTTAGAAACATGGGCGTAGTTAGGGGTGGTCGAAGGGGTCCGGCCCCCTTAGGAAATTACTTGACCTCCCCAAAAACTACATATAATGACGTATACTTAATACTTTTAAAATTGAAATTTCATCCAAGTTTTTGGCAAGGACACTCAAAATTAAGACGACTCACTTTAGCATTTTCCCGAAGAAGTCCCTGGATCCTCCTTTGGAAGCAGGATAGTCCCATCTAACCCTGGAGGATTCTCCCAGATAGGGTGCATCCCTTCACCTCCCCCTTCCTCGAGCACACTTGATTATGCGATCTCTTGCCCTCCATTTTCCTCCGTATTTACCTTGTTGATTCACTGGGTTCCCAAAAAAGGAGCAACTTTTTGAAAGGCTCCTTAGATGGGATGATAAAAACATGGACGTATCTAGCGGTGGCCGAAGGGCGCCTGGTCCCCTAGGAACCCTTTTGCTGCTTGGATTCCTGGTTTGAACTCTAGGCGAGGGTTGAAATTACCTAATGATAAGCTCGCAAAGTTGGATCTGGTCGAAGACCTTGCCGTACAACTCCAAAATTCGGACGCAGGCGAACTTGAGGCCCGGCCACGGGATGAGCGAGGTGTCGAGGGCGCCGTAGAGAGGGCAGCACTGGTGCGGGAACTTCTTGTCGTCGAGCATTTTGGCGGCGACGGCGGGCCCCGAGAGGGTGGTCGCCGCGAGGGGCGCGGGCGCGAGGCCCGGGTCGGAGACGGTGCGCGGACTCCGCCGAGTCAAAAGTCTGTCCACGTACTGCGGTGAACGCCGCTGTTTAGGCTCATTTTCCGCCTTCAACTCGCAGCTTGGGAACCGGCTCTGAAAACCATGCCCGGGATTCCCGGCATATTGCTCATTTCAAAGGCCCGGGCTCCGATCCTGACACCAGGATTGTGCCACGTTAAAAACGGCTGGGAAATATACAGACTAAGGGCTCCCTAGTTACAACGACTGTTAAAAAGTTTTTAAAAAAATTTGTCAATTTTAAGAAGACAACGCTTGAAAAACTATTCAATTTGACGAGGGGAACTCTTTTTGGATATTTTTTTACTTGAACATATCACTGAGATAAAACTGCGGGGGCGGAAGTCGTTCCTGCGGTCTGTACAGCACTACTGTCACACGGTGGATCAAGTCGATAGGGGAGGTCGAACGCATTTGGAAACTTTAAACGCTCATAACTCCGTATATGAGGCCTTATATGTAACAATGGCGGATGTGAAAAATTACCTTTTAGAAACGCGCTTAAAAAAACTGTTTTGTTCACACAAAGATTTAATATGTTCGGCTCTGGCATGATGTACAGATCTCGAAGATCACATTTTCTCAAAATTTTCTCGATGCCAAAACAGTTTTTTGAATGTGTTTCGAAAAGGTAATTTTTCACATCCGCTATTGTTACAGATAATGCCTCACATATGAAACTTTGAGGTTCTGAAAGTGGTTCCATTGGTTTCCTCGTGAAATTAACTTCTGGAAGCACCCCTCAAAGTTTAAAATGTGACGGAATAAACATCAAAATTGACAGTTTTAGTCAAAAACTTCATGTCCGACCATTCTAATTGACTCGATTCACTGTGCGTCAGTTGGGGACTTAGAGGCCAAAAGCTAGGGATAAAGCATTCGTTCTTCCGGCCTCTGCACCCGGAACAGTTGTAGTTACGGCTCCAGCGCACAGAACTCCGAGCCTCTAAGCCCCCAACGGACGGTGGTGCTACATAGCTCGCAGTTACGACATTCACCCCCGCAGTTTATTTTCAGGGTGCCAAAAGATTCAACACGAATAAAGAGTACCTCATTTATTTGCTCAATAAATTCTCTTTTAAATTGAATTTTACTAAAAAAACAACGAAAAAGGTTTCCTTCTCCGTAACTGTCAACAATATTTTGAGGGGTTTTAGAAAAGTGATTTTTAACAGTCACTGCTACTAGAGTTTGACCGTAGTCGTTCCTCAAACCTTCCTTTCCAGAGTCTCAAATGGAGAGAGGAATCATAGAAATAGTCATCTAATTGGAGGGTTTTCGGATTTCCTCTTAAGTCGTAATTTTTTTAAAATTTAAGATTTATTTCAAGATATTTTCAAAGAGTTACTTCAATAAATAATGAGGTACAGTTACAAAAATTTTTCAGGAGTAAGGATAATATGTGCCTCTTTTAGGAGAATAAATTTCACAAGCACGCAGTTGCGAAGTCGTAGATCACAATTCAACCAATTGTTCAATTTATGTAGGAGAAACCATTCCCAAGAAAAGCTGATAACTTTTTAAGGAAGTATTTACAAGAGGTGAAAATTTTCTGATTTAGAGTCAAAAGCTGTCTTTGGTTTCTTTTGGTGTAAATGCAAACCATTTGGGCTACTTTTAAAAGTAGAAAGTTTTGAGGAACAACCACCCCTTTAGAGCAACTTAATGGAGAGATCTATTTATGTAGATCTCTCAAAGATTTATCCCTCAGTTTGATTGATACCCTCTTGACAAATGAATCTGAGCCTTATCATGATCGAATCTTGATCTGACTCTGGGCCCCAAAATGAGGATCAAGATCCGGCCAAGATCTGGTCATGACTCACGAACACACCCCACTTATTTTCACGAGAATGCCGAGGCACGGCAAATTAAAAATTAAAGGCGCTCCAATTTTGCAATCGTTCATGGATTTATTACTAATAATAAGGATAATAGAGGAATCAAGCAGAAACATTAAAATTTTAGTCACGACTTCCAAACAAGCAATAGGAATAACTTACAGGAAGTATGATCAAAATTGTCGGATCTTGAAGAATATGTATGTATACATTCTTATACACCTTTCAAACAAGTCATGCAGAAGACATGCTATATACTGATGAGGAAAAACACAGCGAAAAAAGGATCAAAAATTCAAGATCTATCACAAAAAATGGAAAATGCTAAAAAAAAGCGTGCTGCGACGGTGAATTCATAAAATCTATCGGAAAAAACCAAACGTGGCGTTCTTCAGAAAAAAAGTAGCTTGAGAGATGCAAAAAGAAACTTTCTCCGCTTTTCTATTTCCTTTTCTATTTTGGTCCTATCAATACCCTGGTAAACATTGGCGATAAGAGCTGCGTTTCAAACTACCATAGGAATTCTTACAGCCGGCTAAAGAATGCTACAGAAAATCATATAGCTGGCTGTAGAATGCGGAGCAAATCATACGGCCGGGCTATACGAAGCGATAAAAAATTATGCAGCCGGGCTATAGTTCCTATCGCCGGGCTTTACACTTCATCGCCTGGCTGTTGCTTTTTCTCCATCGATTATTAAAGGCTATAAGAAATTGTGTAGAAATTCGTGTGCTTTGGAAATCATTGAGTTTGATACGGAACCACCTTAATATTTACAAAGCACACGATATATTTTCCTTGAATACATACTTTTTTTCATGAATTAAAATGAGAATAATCCATACAGGATGTGCAAACATTTCAAAATCATGAGTTGAATGACGCTGACTCCGCCAGATTAAATATTAGAGCCTATCACAAAGCGGAGCGGCGACGCACTGGCGCCTACAAACCTAACAGGGATACTTCACGCATTGCGCAACGCGTGAAGTATCCCTGTTAGGTTTGTAGGCGCCAATGCGCGTTCCGCGCTGGCTGCCCGCCTGCCGCACCGCAGCGTGCCACAGCGCTTGAAGCAACTATTTCACACCAGAGGTATTGCACAGTATCATACGAAACTGAAGAAGCTCTAATATATTAGGAATGGCAGGCAGGCATTCATCAAAAGTACGGAGCTTTCCTCGCAAAATAAATCAAGATACTACGGCCCAAAAAGAGAGCAGTGGTCCAAAAACTCACTAAGTCCTAGTACTCGTAATTACTGACGTTTAGCATACACTTTATCGCCTGGCTGTGAGTTGCTTAATCGCCATCGGCTATAAAAAGCTATAAGAAATTGTGTAGCCGACTATAGAAGCTATTGAAAATCTTACAGCGGGCTGTAGGTCTATGGTATTTTGGAACACAGATTCTACTGCCAATTTTTACCAGGGTAATTATATACTTCCTATATAGTGCCATTGTCAGATGATCATCAATCCGCACTTTTATCTTGATGTAGGAACCACCAGGAATATGAAATAATCAAACTCGACATCACTGAGACAGTAAAACTACCTATGAAATTTACTCAACATTTTATTTCTCCTTCTTCTTCGTTGTTATTTTTCATTTTTTTTTACACAGTGGTTTTTTAAATAAAAACAACGCGTTCTAACGACCGCACGAACGCACCATAAAAATATTGAACTTTTTCGTTGCGGAAAGTGAAGAAAGCCGTAAAACCGAGCGACTATGAAACGGCAAGAGTAATTTAATGAAAGGGTTACTTGAGTGAAAATGATACCGGCAGGATCTATTTTTATCGTCTCCCCTGGACCGAAAAATGTACTTTAAATCATGATTAATGCTGCTCGACAAATTCCAGGCTCCGTGGCCATAATTCACGCCCTGATTCGTGCGATCAACGGGGCTGGATTTGCACAACTTTCGGACAAATCTTTGTCGCGTCAAAATAGGTGAATGGGCGTTTATCCGCTGTTCTGGAGACTATTCAAGACATTGTTGCCAGACAATTAGTATGCACCCTACGAGATATCAAAATTGAAAACCTGAAATAATCGGAAAATATTTCTTTAGAATCCGAGGGTGTATAAAACTCGAATTCGTGGATCATTTTCAAACCCGTGCTGGCAGGTAATTTAGTGGGTCATAGCGTCAATTGATTCAGAAATATTTTATCCAATTCACATTTGGCCTATGAGACTTCATAAATTGGGTCCATTCAGTAATCATTAAAAAGCTTAGGAGTTAACCAGTCGAGGCGTTTAAATGGTCTGTTGTGTGAGGTCGGACTAACTTGGACTACTATAAGGTATCCCATATTGGATAGAATGCAATTCTTATACCCGATTGCGATCTGCATTTCTCACGCTTTTGTTAATATTTGAATTTTCAAATGATGAAACAACATTGAAGACGGTCCAAATTACGAGATTGCGAGGTTTATTACCTCAGTGTGATATGTGTCCCTGGTAAAAATAGCAAGTGCTTAGATCGTAGCAATTGTTTGCGAACAGACCAGAACACTGACGTCAGTACCTCAAAGCACTGATCTGCTAGATCAGTGTTGGGTATATCAAGATTATGGAAGGGAGAACTAAATTAAAAACTATGATGTCAGGTGCGGTAATTTCACGAATTGATGATCAAGGAGAGCTGCTGTGTTATAGCATGTTAGTGCAACTAAGCCATTCATGAGTACCTATCACAATTCTTATTTGGCAGCGCTTATTCCCATACGGCCAATTTCTGTGAGCAACCACTCTCCTCTTCACTCTGGCTGGAGTTTCCAACAGGCCCATTATGGTCAAGTTTTAGATTACGACTGGAACGTCCCTATCAGTGTATAAGTGAGCGTGCGAATACACGAAGATCAAAAGTTTCCCTTAAAAGCATGGGTAGAATGGCCCAGAGGGTTAGAGGGCGATTGCCCCCTAAACTTAGCCCTGAAAGGATTCCCAAGGTCTCATATTATCGGATTTTAGGGCCCCTATCGGCACTTTTCATATTATCGCGCAGAGCCTCTTTCAAACCTTACTTCTTATCTCTTGTCAGCGGACTGATCATTGCCATTGATGGACAAAGCAATAGAAAAAGATGACATAGAGAGTATGGAGCGAGCCTATTGGTTGAAATAGGTGGCTTTTATAGACTAAGGGGGAAAATGATGGACCAACTGTCGGGTCTCTGGTCGGTTGCCGTTAGTTAGTCTATGACTTACCTCCTTTGTCCATTGCAACCACCCGTTTCCACCAATAGGAACACACTATATCCTTTTTGTCTTCATTGTCTATAGCTTTGTCTATGTATATATAAACCGCTTTTACGACGCGCTAAAGCGCTCTGCGACGCCTA